TTCTCTTGAGAAATATTTGTCATTCGAATGATTGATTCCACAAAGCGGCTGGTTACCTGCACGTGAAGCAGTTCATCGTCCAGCAAACTATGTGACATGCTAAACATGCTTGAGCTTCACAAAAACTGTCTCAACAAATGAATAAATGCGCCTGTCCGAACGGGCTCAACAACCGGTGGTCCAATTATGATAGAACAGACCGGATTCCATTGTTTTGCAACAAGTTTCATATTTCTGGAGTTTGCTGATGTTTCAGTGGTCTTGTTGTGGATGATGACGTGTGATCCGTGCAATGCAATGCTCAATAGCTTAGATTTTAACTGAGTGCTTTATTTCATTTCGCCATCCGGCCAATCTATTCTCATTGCCAATTCGGTCATTCATACTTAATTAAAGGTGCTGTGTGTATGATTTGGCATTCAAACCAGATGGCTCTGAACTGTTAGTGGCAGCCGACACCAAGGTACTTATTTACGATGGTAGTGATGGCACTCTACTCCAGTCACTCAAAGGTAATTTGAAAATACTTCATTAGTTCTTGTTTCCATGTTCTTTTGATCATTAATGAAACCGAATAATATCATTCATTAAAAAAAAATTTCCATAACATTTTAATGAACGACGCCAGCAGTGTATAACACTTAGTAATTTCTCGGTGAGCAGTGAACGAAAATATCCGAAAAAAAAACCGAAGATTTACCGAATCCCAATTATTCCATCCGATCAAATGTGTTGAAAGTTATGCGCTGAGAGAAACGTTAATCCAATTCTCAAACTGATTCTTTTTTGCCAACATATTGGATTTTCAAAACAGCAACAGTGCCGTATTTTCTTGATTACGTTTGATCTTAAGGGCACAAAGATCTTGTTTATGCGGTCGCGTTCTCATACAATGGCGAGCGATTCGCATCTGGTTCAGCTGATCGTTCAGTGATNGTAGAACATATTCTGAAGGCACTTAAAAGACAAACAGTTGCCGAAATTACTTATGTTAAGTATGCTTTGATACTTTTGAAAACGCAGTCTATTCGGAAGTGTCACATATACCTCACTTGACAAGAACTTCGTACGGATTTTTTCGGTGTCACACTCAAAACAGACGAATTCACGGTAGAGAGAAGAGCTTATGGTGGGACGCAATCATCAAAAAATACTGTGTTTTTCATGCTGACAATTTTATTTCAATACAAAAAAGTGAATATCAAGAGTTTCTAGTAGAAGAAAAACATTAGAGTTTGATATCAGAAATGAGTTATTTTAGGCACAATGAAGCTGTTCAATGCCTTGCGTTCAGTCCCGTTGCTTGTTTTCTGCTCAGCTGTGCGATCAGCGATTTTGGTATGTTTTGCTTTTCAACGATTCGTTAACACTTATTATCAGCATCTTCGCGCTGTAAGTGATGCTCAGGGCGAGAGACTTTCACTAAATATGCCGATTTTTCACTAGTGAATTGGGTGAAACAAATGCGACCGGGTTATTGAAACTATGATCAGTTGTCATTTGCTAAAGGAATATTCGATGCCTTATTCAGTGCATTCAATGTCTGCTTCATTTACCAAGCGACTGATCGAATAGTTGGATGATTCCATCCGCCACGCATGTAAACATTCATTTACGATGTATACTTATAGTATATTAAGTATCTGAATTGAACGAAGAAAATGACAATTTGGAAAATACCATCTTGAAACGTTCCTTTACATATGCGCGTTCTCAAAAAGATTGTTTGTTTAATTGTTAAAATGCAGGAATGTGGACCCAAACTGAGAAAAGTGTGAGTAAGCAACGAACGTCGAGTAGGTGTGTTAGTTGTGCGTGGAGTTGCGATGGTCAGTTCTATGCGATCGGTATGTTCGATGGCGGTGTTTCACTACGTTCAGTAACGGTTCGTTTCGTTTAACATATTCTCGAGAATCGTCCCGAGCCTCGTATTCTCTACGCCTGACCTCCACCACAATTTAGGAGTCGGTATCGATGTACTGGGAGTAAATTCAAAGCGGAAAACTGACTTTCACCCAGATCCTCGCGATCAATTAGGTCATTATGAACAGGAGGATTGCATTCAGTTCTGTCAATCGTTGTGCATTATCAATGAGATCAGAAGATCCTTTGAATACTGGTTGTTTCTTAAAGTTTTGATATAATTATGAAGATTGAATATAGAAGTAGAGTTTCATTCTCAGGCGGGATTGGAGGTCAAAAGGATCGAACGTCCGTCGGGTGAACCAGTTTGGGCAGTCGCATTCGGAGCTGCAAGAGCCGCAACGTAAAACCTTTGGTGATACAAATGTCGTTGAGAGAATTTAAGACACAAAAGCCATTTGTGTACAAAGATAATTCACCAAAATCATGAACATTCCACTGGGCACTTATCTACTTTTGTGCTCTTTGAAAGTTTTCACGAAAGTGAGAATTTTGCCGAAAATTTTCGACAAATTAAATTTGATCAATTTTTCGGACAAATTAACTGGCGCCATTCATCAGTACATTAGTTGCATCATTTACATGAAAATTAGACAAGAAGAAAAAATCACACAATCATAGCCTAACTAACTGATGATTTGTAATTGTTTCAAACTAATAGTGAATTGTGGATTTTATAAATTCAGGGACAAAGGACGTCGTTCCAGTATCCACAATGAAGGGTCAGCACTTCCATGTATTTGCATGCTGTCGATAACTGATGAACGAGTTGATTAAATATGTTGATGTTCGAATTGATATCTGAATACAAAAGATAGTACATATCTTTCTGCATTTGACAGGAACCAATTTCTCAATTCCAGTAGCACTTCAATAAATTAATGCTAAAAATAAGATCACATGTTGAATTCTTGAACTGCGATTGAAAAACGCAGTTACTCAACTCTCTTGCAATCATCGAATTACTGCTGCTCAACATTGCTAAAAAGTGATTTCTGATATGCGCTCATCGTCAAGGATAGTTTCCATGACTGCGTAGGGTGGCAGTTAAAAGTTTGACGACTTCTAAATGAATCAGTATGAAGCGAAAGCACAAGCCTGGACATGGATCAATCGTTTAAGATCAAATATGCGGAATAGTAGGAGTTCTAGTAGCAGTCGGGACATTCATTTCAATAATTTTGATTTGGGTGCTGATGAAGTGTTTTTAATTGTACGTACAGATCTGCCAGTTGGTGACCACTGTACGGTGATCGTTCCGAATTTTCATTTCTGCTAACAATTTTCAGTGGTTATCCAGGAGAACTGCTAGCAGTCGCTGACTGGGGACAAACTGTTGCGTTTTATGATCTTGATGGGAATCAGGTTTGCACATCATCGATTTCATTTTCCACTCACATCTGCAGCTGTCTCAATTCTAATTCAATTGAACTTCGTTGCAACAATACAGGTGATTCGAGATGAGAAAAAACTGGGATGTGATCCAACAGCGATCGACTATTTCAATTATGGCCAATTTCTTGTCATATGTGGATCGAATCGTCAAGTCACCCTTTTCAGTCGCGAAGGTGCTGGAATTTTTACAGATGTAATTAATGTATTTGATAGATAATTCCTTGAGCAGTGAACATTAAAAACCGTCAAGAATTGGATCACTTCATCATGTCGTATCTCCCTTACAAATTTGACAACTTTTGGAATGGAGATAGATCGTGTAGAGATTGTTATGATGCATCTGCAATGTGATCATTTATGAACGTGCATCGATTGTATGCGTTGACGCTACCGAGAAATATTTCAGGTACCACATTAGGAACAATAGCACAAATGGATACATGGGTTTGGACGGTTAAGGCGAGACCGAATACAAACGCTGTTGTCGGTTAGCGAGTTGTTCTCAACTTTCGACTGATTTTCGCAGAGCGAAACTGGAAAATGTTCACAAATTAATCTGCAATTTACGATAAAGTCTGTGAATTTTTAAACAGTGTGATCGTTTCAGTGGGATGCGTGGATGGTACATTAGCTTGCTATCAACTTATGTTCAGTACAGTTCATGGACTACATAAGGTGATAACTTCATGTATTCTTTGCACATTACCTACGCGCAATGATCGTGCTTCTCCAGTGTTCCGTTTATTGGATGGTTATGATCGTGGATAAACTCACAAGCAAATGTTGAGCGGAACAAATTCGACAAATTGCAGGAACGTTATGCATATCGCGAGAATATGACCGAAGTTGTGATACAACATCTCGGTAAACAGCGATCTGTTCGAATCCGATGCAATGATTTGGTTCGAAAAGTAGCTGTCTACCATAACAAGCTTGCAGTAAGTCTGGATAATGAAATTAAGTACTTCGATGGCATTCATATGTTCTCAGCATGGAGTTGAAAACTTACCGTGAACAAAACCGTTCATCGATTAAGAAGGAACATCTTTTAACGTGGCATCATATGAAAGAATAGTCATTGATGACCTGAACAATGAAGGTAATCCAGGTGTTGAGTCAGATTCGTTTTTTTTTTCAAGGTCCAACTGACCGATCGAGTCCATATATATCGGCAAGGTGTTGAACGAGAGGATGGGCAGCTGGAATACCGACTTATTGAGCGAATCAATCACACGTTCGAGTGCTCATTACTTGTATGCTCTTCGGAATTCTTTCGAATACTATTCGTTCGCTGTGCTTGAATATTGTTGAATGACTCATGATGATTTTTGAATCACGGTGTCCATGATTCTACCGAATTGCTGATGAGTATTACTTTGAAAGAATGTTGCGAGGGGCGTAATTGAACTAGGAAAAAATTGTCTCTATAGTTCGCAGAGGAGAACGAATGATTGATTCAGGTTGTTTGTGCACAACATCTGATATTGTGTCAAGAAAGACGCCTACAGTGTTATGACCATAAGGGCCTTAAACAACGTGAATGGCTACTGGAATCACTCATTCGCTACATCAAAGTTATCGGTGGGCCACCAGGACGAGAAGCTATCCTAATTGGCTTGAGAAATGGGGCGGTTAGTTGTTGGATATTATAAATCAGTATATCCTGAAGAAGAAATTCTCTTTAGAGCATGATAATCAAATGGTGAGTAGAAGGCATTCACATGACAAGGCTAATGCATTCCTTGATGTTCAACTAGAGAACATCAAGGTGCCATCTGAAACTAAAGAGAATGCATAACAAGGATAGGAGATTTCATTTACTCATGTTCAAAAGTGATGCGTGACCAATGAGGTAGCTTGCTCAACATGGAATTCAAATTTGTTCTATGCATTGTATGAAGGCCATGTGGCCTATTGAGTAAATGGGTGAATCAATGAAATAATACTTTGAATAAAAGATGTCACAATATGTTCCATCTTCCAGGTATGCAAAATATTTGTCGATAACCCATTCGCCATTCAAATGCTACAGTTGAAAAGTGCTGTTCGTTGTCTCGATATCAGTCACCTCAGGTAAGGAGAGATGATGAGTTTAAAAGTTCAGTTGAGGATCCACAAAGTTCTTCAAAAATCTACGATTGCGAAGCTTCGCTCAGACAAAAAAAATTCTCATGCTGGGGATGTCAGTACCACTTTTGAATCACCACTACCATTTGTGACGTTTCAGGCGTAAATTGGCAGTTGTAGATGAAACTGGCGTCTGCATGACATTTGATGCAAATACCAAGCAACTTCTCTTTCAGGTCAGCTCATAGTTCAAGTGAATTTCAAATATGAACACGTCTCTTGAAAGTACTCTTCATTTCAAGCGTCGGTTAGATTATCTGACGACGAGCTTGCTCAGGCCACCAAAAAAGCGCTGAACCTCACACATATATGACAACTCTTGAATTATTTTCCATTTCTACCGACTATAACAACCTTGCTATCTCGAGGCTTTGGGAAGTCAATTTCTGTGCTGGATTTGTTCCATTCCTCACCAACCCTTTATGAACTTACGTTGTCTTTCATAGGACAACTCAGTGTGGATTTAAGAGATAAGTAAGCGATCGTGAAGAATTGGTGAGCTGTTGGAGTTCGAATTCAGTTGCAATATGCCAGGATTTTTTTTTAGGAACCAGCCTGTAATAGTGTTGCGTGGAATGCAGACCACGAGAATCTTCTATGCTACTCGGGTGGAGGTGCATTGAGCATTAAAGCCGATAACTTTCCTGCTTATCAACAGCGCATGCAGGTTCGTTTAACACAAGCCGGCTGCCCTAAACTGCCCTAAGCACGTTGATCTGTCGAAGATAACATGCATTCGTGAATATGAAGTGCTCAGCTCAGAGATGCTTATTCCATCAACGACACTTCTACATTTTAGAGAATAGCCATGTGTACTTTAGGGATTTGTCGTTGGATTTTCTGGTAAGCGAGTGTTTTGTCTGCATATGTTCGCGATGACAGCCATGGAGGTGCCATTGTCCAATCAACTCTATCAGTATCTTGAACAAAAAATGTACAAGTGAGTAACTAATCTTCCATTATCCATACTTCATACCCATTTGATGGTGGGATTTTCCTCAGACTGAATCACATTATCTAGAACTGCTCATTTGGTATTAGTGCGCATGAATGTCCATATGCATTTGCGAAAAATTGTTCGTTCGTGATAAATTGTCATACTGTTTTAGAGAAGCTTATGAGCTTGCAACGCTTGGAGTCACAGAAGGCGACTGGACGATCCTTGGTCATGACGCATTGCAAAATTTACGGCTGGATATAGCAAAAAATGCGTTTCACAGAGTCAAAGACACCAGATATCTCCAACTGATTTCAGAGATTGAGGTTATCGCTACGTGGCATGATCTTTCAGACGTGTTTCTTTAAGCATTGAACCAGAAAGGTTGCACATCTCCAGCAAAATGCAGTTAGACATAATCTTCTCTTATCAATATTTGTAGTATCTTCAGCGCGTTGTTTCAGCCTTATGGATGATCAAATTTGCAGTGGCAGAAATTTCTTCGCTCGCACCATTCTCTGGTTTCAGTTCTAAGTATATACGAGTTAAAAGTTGAGGTGAATGGATTTGTGAGATTACGCTTCGAATGAAGTTCAGAACATGAGAATAGTTTATGTATTCATTACATCTCCGGTATCTAACGAATTCGCTTCTGATTTTATTGGAAAATATTTCAGGAGATGCAGCAACGTGGTGAAAAGCAAGAACTGATGCTGGCTTACATGAAAGCATATCAGGGTCGTTTCCGTGAAGCAGCAATGCTCTTCCAGAGCCACGGCTACGAGCAGAAAACACTCGAGATGTTCACTGATCTGCGAATGTTCGATCAAGCTGGAGTGAACATTTGTTGTTGTTTTTTAGAGATTAAAACTTGAATAGTTCTTACGAAATAATTTCGTCAACGGATATACCAATTCCGGTCAGGGCAGACATCTAACCGAGTGATTCGAAGTGATAGTTTGACTGAATTCAAAGTGACCGATTGGCCTCCGGAATTTTAGCGGGTCCAGTTTATTGTGCATTTGTAATCAACATGTATCATTCACTCAACGTGCTGTAAGAATGAGGTATTTCGAATTCAGGAACTGTTATCAACGGCCTCTGATGAAACACAAAAAGCGCTCATGCGTAGAAGAGCTGACTGGGCGAGAGATTCAAATGAACCACGAGTAGCGGCGGAAATGTTTGTCGCATCTGGTGATTATGATAAGGCCATTAAGTTGATGATCGAAAACGATTGGGTGGACATGTGAGTTTATCAACACTCGATCTGATCGCATGACTGCAGAACATCGCTTCTTTAGATCGAAATTTTTTTTCGGCCCCCATCACTAATCAACATTTCCTTAAGGTTATTGCGATGTTGTTTGTGTTTGATGCTGAATGCAAACGTTCAGTCCCCTTTACGGCTTATAGCCAATCGCTCTAGGCCTCAGTGTTGAAAAAAAAAACAAGGCTCATTTATGACGATGAGAGGTTATGAAAATATGGATTCAATGAAAATGGTGAAATGAAGAGATGGAGGCACTTCAGGTTGGTGAATTTAATGCATCGAATGGATCGCAGCGATGTCGATGCCCTGCGAACAATTGGAGCGTATTTGGTCAAGAAGAAAGAGTACACACTGGCCTCACAACTATTTATTTCGATAAACGATATACGTGCGTTGATTAATATGCATGTCACAGCTGCACAATGGAACGATGTAAGTTCAATGAGTCATGAACATGTTACAGTGAGAAAACTGAAATTCATTGCCGACGGATTTGTCAGCGATTGCAGTTTATGAGTTTAATTGTAATTTGAATTACTACGAGCAGCCACGATAACTGAATAAAATTTATCCGTGAATAACGGTTGGCACGGAGACGCCGATCCTGTGCCAGCCATACCATATATGCTTCTTCTAGAGTAGCTTCTTTCAATAAATCAAACTCATATATTGTCTTTATGTTCAGAAATCCCACACATTGCTTGCTTTATTCTCACTGAACAGTGCATTGTTGCAGGCATTCGCGATCGCTTCTCGTTATCCAAAATACAATGAGGATGTTTATCTGCCTTATGCACGATGGCTGGCCGAGAAGGATCGTTTCGAAGAAGCACAGAAAGGTTTGCGTTGCGATCGAATTTCATCACTTCTGCAATGGATCAGTGTTTTTTGCATCTTACTCATTGATTACATTTTCGATACTTGCTTTCTGCTCATACTTTTTATTGCACTTCTCTTTCATTGTGTTGCTAAATTTATATCAAAATTCATATTACTGACAGTTTTCACATACGAAGTAATTGTACGCTGAAATGTGTACATTCAACTTTGATGCTTTTGAATTTGATGACATTTTCGTTGCATTCAAAAGCACTCAATGAAGACAGTACTCGAAGTGCCTGTTAACGGTTACAACCATTGTATATTGGTAACTGCATAGAAGCGTTGGAATTAAATGACCGACGACACTAGCATATCAATGGCCGATGAACAATTCTAGCATATCACATGGCCGGACATGACAAAGAAGCACTCTGGGTGCTTGAGCAACTGACCGAAAATGCAGTGCGTGAAGATCGTTTTCTCGATGCTGGATATTATCATTGGATGTTGAGTTCGCAGTACTTGGACAGAAGTGTCAATGATGAACAACTAGTGAATAAGTTCAAAGAAAATTGCACGAAAGCAGATTGCTATTACGCTTACGACGCTATTCACAAATATCTGGTGAGGGAACATTCTGCAGTCATTAGGACTGCTAGAAATATCATTTTCGTTCTGCTGAAATATGGCATTGCTAGCCATCTAATCATCAGTGCCACTTTTCGCATTGTCAGATGCATACGGTTTTGATGCCTTGAACTATTATTTTGATTTTTTGAATTGTCTCAATTCGAAGGGCGGAAATGTACGTCGAGTTTGCGCGGTTTCCACAGTCATTCGATTATATTTTGCACGCTTCATCGTGGTGAACAATTGAAGTTTTTAAGGCTGAACCCTTCACCAGTCGTCCAGCAGAAGCACTGGTCAATATAGCACGTTATCTGGCATTCCAGGAGGACGTTCATAAAGTATCACGAGTGTCAGTTGCACCGTTCATTGAACACTGCCTCGGTTAATGAATGCGCCCTTCATATGTGCTAATTCCTTCTATTTTTCAGTGCTGTAATGTATACGTTGGCAAAACAAGGCCAAGCATTAGGTGCATATAAGCTGGCTCGCTATGCACTGGAGCAACTCAGCTTTTTGAAGGCACCAGCACGTTTCGAGAAATTGATCGCTATTGCAACTGTTATGATTCGAGCAAAACCCTTCACTGATGCTGAAGAGTTGTTACCTATGTGTTACAGGCAAGTAGTACAATCCTCTAAACCGATCTACCTTTCAAATGCAGGTGCACTTCAAAACAATTTAGTATTATCGATGATCACAACGTAACATCATTTTCATCACCTTTTTTGTTGGTCATGTTGTAATCAGTGCTTCCAATTATGACGAAAATGCATTTCCATTAGACTTCTTCTGATCCTTCTATTCACTTGCATCAGTTATTCGTACAACGCAAACTTCCGCTATTGCAGATGTGGTACTGCGAATCCGCTGACGGGTGGTAATGAATGTATACATTGCAAAACACCGTTTATTTTTTCATTTGTGTCTTTCGGTAAGTGTAAAATATTCTCT